AGGTAGAGCCAGTGTCTTGAAGTCCTGTTTACCAAAGCCCTGAGGAATATTTATGATCTGTAGTCTTGTCTAATGCTTCTACGGTAGTAGACATTAGAACAACTTCTTTATTCTCTATGAACAGAGTAAAATCTTATGGTAGAGGTTATTCCATGCACATCCCACATAACTAATCTTCAGCAATGTTTAGATATCGAGTTCTCATTACAGCTGGGGTTTCTGGATGCTGAATAGCCAAATTCCCCACATAACTTCAGAATGACATTGTTCTTGCACTCGCTGCCAGCCCATCCCTGAATCCATCAGTCACATATGTACTGGCTTTACATTTTCTCTCTCTAAATCTGCAGAGTCTGTATATCTCCAGGCTGCGTCACATATTTTCCTGCACAGCATCAGCAGTGGTTCCGTGAAGTAACAGCTTTGTCATTTTGTATACCAGACGTGTATGGTCTCATCAGGGAGTTATTGTGCGTGACGAGGAAGGGATTCACTGGCGCGCAGACTGAATGCAGTGATGGAGACAAGAGCCGGGCAATTTCCAATTGGTCTGTGTGTTGCTGCATTGCTGTGTTCAGACAGCTAATGGTCATAGAATTCCTAGGACTTTCCAGCCTGTGCTTTCATCCCCCTGTTATGTCCCTGAGCAGTCTGCGACGAGCCCTGAATTTCAATCACTTTCTGCTGTCTGTGTATTAAACGCTTGCTTAGACGAGGTTTGAGCATCGCCAGCTCGTTGAGCAAGGTGACCTCAAATCTTTTTCATAGACGCGGCTTCTTGTTTCTTTCGATTCCCATTTTACACTCAATTTTCTTTTCTTTTGGGTGCGGATTTACCTCCTGAATGCCCTACCTATGTTATTCTTCAAGAACTCTATTATATACAGGGTGTTTGCAGTCTCCGACAGGCGTTCCCTGATGTCATTGTCAAAGCAGCATTTGTTATGTTCAGATTGTCGGATTATTTTATATTTATTTTTGCTGTAGCACCAGCGCGGTGTAATAAAGCCCCGGGTCAGGGTGGCCTCCGGAAATGTCACCCTGTTCATGAACTTTCAGTTGCGTCACATTCGTTCAGTTTTTTTAAAATGATTTATTTATTTTTGGTTTTGTCAAGTTACTGGTAGGTTGATATTCCTATTTTGTTTTTGTGTTCCTTGAAGTTCCCAACCCAAAATGTCTTACTGCTCATGTTTCGTTTCCTGTCCTATCCTAAAAAGAAAAGATCCTAGATGGAGATTAAAGACAAATCCATGCAGTTGACAAAAAAAACTACCCTTGCAGTGCATTGCAAGTGTTAACTGCTCATATATTTCTAGGGAAATGAAGAGGATTTTTTACTTACTATACCACCACTCCCCCAGTGGGCAGTGCTCCCCTTTCTCCCCTCTGCTCGTGAATTGTGCCTCCTGATTACATCAGTGGGCCTGTGACTGCTGGAGAAGAGAGGGAAAAAGGCTGTGGGCACAGGTCTTGAGCCAGCGGGAGCAGGGAATCATGCAAGTCAAGTCCTTTACAAAGGACCCTTGGACAAGAACGAGCAGTTAACCCTTGCAGTGCTCGGGCAGACTCACTGCAAGGGTAGATTTTTTTTTTCCCCTTAACGAGTTGGCCGGACAAATCTTAGGAGCCAGGTAGCCTACGCACATTAAAATAACAGCTGGGGTCTAACTTTTCAAGGTCTTTCTCTAGTTTTTTTTTAAATTCTTTATTGACTAATACATTTCAACAGAGAACAATAACAGTAATGGTGGCAAGTATACAAAGTCCACGGGTTCCGTAGTGAAAACGGACTTCACCGTATTTTAAATAATCAAACTTATAAAGTCATAACATTGAAAACCTAGTCATTTTTCGGTACACAATCATTGCTTCCATCTAAGAATTCGTAGAGAACCACGCCTGTATATGGGAAAGCCCCTTGACTATATATGATACAGGTGAGCAGCCACGTCTTGAGGTCAAAGGAAAAGGCAGTAGGAAAGAGAATGAGAGAGAGAGAGGAAAAAAGGTCGGGTCCGGGCAGAGCCTGAGGGTCACATCAGGAGTCTTGGTCTCCACGGAGGATAGTAGCACTTGCATCTAACCAGAGGTATGCATTCATACAGAAGAAGTCAAGGGTGGATGGGATTCCCCCTTGCTCAGAGTTGGGAGAGCGGATGAGGGCATTATGGACAGGTCCTGTAGCTCAACCATGGCCCCCAGGTGGCATTGAATTTACCTTCCGTATTCTTCAAGGAGGCTGTTAGATCCTCCAACTGGTAGATGTCCTGATTTCTGGAGAGCCATAACTGAACAGAAGGTGGCTGGGGATCCCGCCACTTCAGGGGTATACACACTCTAGCAGCATTCAACAGATGGTATGTTAAAGAGTGTCTATATTTGGAGATCGGATGTGGGGTTAGGTGGAGCAGACATGCAGCCGGGTCATCCCTGAGGTCCGGCCCTATCAGAATCTCTACAATCCCCAGTACCCACTCCCAGAAGGGTTGTATTTTGGGAGGTTTTCTCTAGTTGTTGGTGTTAATGGAACTGGCTTCCATTAAAAAATTTAAAACACACACACACACACACACACACACACACACACACACACACACACACACACACACACACACACACACACACACACACACACACACACACACACACACACACACACACACACACACACCTTAGACATGTGCAAAGACTAAAAATTAATTTCAGATGAAATGAACGAAAACTAAAAACGTTTTCATTTTTTTCATCAAACAAAACACATTTTCATGCTATTCTGGATTCAGCCACTGGCGTGTTCCTGAGGCGGGGCGCATGACGTCGTATAACATCGCACGTGTTGGGCGCCACCATCTTGGTGTATACCTCTGGTATACACCAAAATGGCGGCGCATATATCGGCGTGTGACGTCACGCTCCCTGCCTCTAAGATGGTGGCACGCATTCGCAGAACGTGCCGGTGGCAAACATGGCCGCCGCACATTCTCAAACAAATTACGTGCCTGAATACATTTTTCGTATATTCGGACACATAGTAATTCATTTAATTTTATGTTCTGCTTTTTATTTTTACTTTTCTAGATGCACTTACTTGAAAAAAGGAATCGGCATGACAACCTGACACTTTATTTTTATAGACTCTATTTTAGCTTGACATTTATTGTTTACCACTTGTTTGCCTTCTGTCTTATGTAATAAGAATACTTATATTGTGCCTACAAGTTTTATTTTATCATACTTTTTAATGTTTCTTTGGAGTTTAAAGGAGAACTATGGGGTTAGGGCTTTTCCACATAGTTCTCCTTAGGGTAACGGGAGGACACAAACTAGCGTCCTCCCGTCACCCTAAGCTCTGTATACCACTACTGAGACGCCACAGTATCTAGATGCAGTGCTAGCTGTACCCTCCCCCGTCCGTTCCGCCAGTCAGCGCTGGCGGGAAGGGGGGAATCCAGCCCCTCCCCTGCCACGGCAGAGAGCCGTGACAGGATCGAGAGGTGAGCGAACGCCGGTATATGTTCGCTCACCTCCCGATCTACTGAGCCGACCTGTGACAGTCTCATTGTCACAGGTCGGCTAGAACTATGTGGTAAGTGAAAAGCACTCACCTCATAGTTCTCCAAAATGGGAGTCTTTATTGGAAAAAATGGGTGTGGTCACTGAGGGGCGCTGTAAAGCTTTCTTGCACAGGGCGCCTAAAGGCCTAAGGCTGGCTCCGGGTCTCTGCATTCCCCACTCTTCCCCAGTACTAAAAAGAAGTTTAGATTTTAGATTTACTTTAAAATGAATCTGGTTTAAAGATTTTCAAGCACATATCATTGTGAGTTCTGTTCCGTGAGAGGGAAAAGAAGACAGTTGTCGGTCTCCTAGGATAATTTAAAATGTGGAATGTGCATATCTGGCTGATCTGTTTTAAAAGCCCCCATGTAAAGGTGCTCATACACCTTACAATTATCTGCAGATTTTCTGTGGTCAGATGGAAAAAGTGCAACAGATTGGCCCAGGTGGAGATTACTCCATCCACGCAGATAAGTGTAGATGGAGGAATCTGTTGCACCTTTTCCATCTGACCACAGAAAATCTGCAGATAAATTGTAAGGTGTATGGCCAGCTTTAGGACGGCTTTAATGTAAACTTGTACTTACAGGTATTTGTTCATTCAGAATTGGGATCAACTTTTTAACTGATGTGCAATCTATTGCCTACTGGGAAATCAGTGACACAACATACAGATGATGCAATATTGTCAAATCTGTGACCGGATGAGCGTACAGCTTGCATGCAGTCTGATTTCAGGCACTTGTGTTTTTGCAGATCCATGAGTAATAGTCAGATTTGGAGAATTAAACTTACAGGGTTTAGTAGAGTACCTTAATTGCATTTTCACCCGTAGCCCATGCTTTGTAGTGATGTGACCGATTTGGATGCTGCTATTAGGGATGCACTGATACCGGTATTTCGGTACCAAGTACCGACATTTTTTTTTTCCCCGAGACTTGCCGATACCAAATACCGAGTACCAGAAGTCCCATTCAGGAAGCCGCCCCAACGCTTCTCGTCACTATGAGAAAGCAGGGAGCTGGCTTGCTGGCCAATCATGGAAGCCCGGCACCGTGTAATGACGTGGCGCCTGGCTTCCTGATTGGCCAGGGAGCCGGCTCCATGCTCCCTCGTCGTGAGGTGACGAGGGAGCATGAAGCCGGCTTCCCGGCCAATTGGAAAGCCGGGCGGCGCGTCATTACACGACGCCTGGCTTCCTGATTGGCCAGCTTCTCAACCAATCAGGAAGTCGGGCAGTGCTCACAAGTGACGAGGGAGCATGGAGCCGGCTTCCCGGCCAATAATGGGTATCAGTGATGTCTACAGTCATCTTGCCGTTGTTATGGTCAGCTTGTTTTATGCCTTTTCTGTGGTTTATGTGTATCTGGGTTTATCTTATTTTGTTTTGATGTCCATTTAAGTAAAAGTAAGTTCTAATTTTATTCTGGTTTTCTTGGCAGATCTGCACCTTACTTTTCGCCACACTCTACCTCCTCTCCTATATGGTCATCACCAAGTTCAAGAAACATGCCGATTTCACCACAGGTGAGTCACTCGCTCAACTTAGCGTTTGCACATTCTAAAGGTCAAGTTGCATGATCCACAGCTACCACTGTACCTATGCTTACAATCCTTCACAGTAATAATAAAAGACTAAAGAATACAAAAACGTGGAATATTAAACTGTGCTTTGGGCTGGTATACACAAGCTAGGGAGGCTATAAGGGCTCTCAGGTGGTCTGTATGGGCTCTCGGGGGCTGTAAACAAGCACAATTATTTGAAAGCTATGCATGCATTAACAAAGACCTGCATGAGTAAGGCACAAACATTATAAGTCATGGAAAAGGTGCCACAGCATGTTTATCAAAGCTATTGTGTATGAAACGGTACCAGATTGTCACTCACATGTAAAAATATTCGCTCAGAGACGGAGTCTCTGTGCAGCCGCTGCTTGCAGAACCGGACTGTCAGGTGCCGCCTCACATGCTGAGCAGCGGGAGATAAGCGGTGATGACAGTTCCTCATTGTTCTGCCATAGAACACTGCCCCTAGTGAATATACACTAGAAATATGACATCCTAAGCCAGCACATGCACCCTGGTAGCATACTGGCGCCTTTACAGTGGCTTCAGCCGATTTCTGACAGAACATCGGACCTGGGATCGTGTGCCAGCAGAAAGGGCCCTGTGTGCCATAGGTTCGCCATCACTGCTCTAGGAGAAGATGAGTCGACACAGGCAAGTGGTTCACGGTGACAGAATCACTGTGTAACATTGTGCCAAAGCCAGCTCCAAGCAAGACATCATAGCAGCATTCCTTTGCTCCAGGGTTTAAAGGCTTTGATTGAACGTAGAGATCAGTTTCAGCTACTTAAGTGTAAACAGAATTCAATAGGTTGACCAAAGCTTACCAATTCTTAGATGGTGGCTGCATTAGTTTATTTTATTTTTTTAGGCTTTTTTCCCCCTTTTATTTTCATCTGGTGATCCGACCAGTAAGACTGTTCTTTTTCGCCTTCCTTTTACCAGACAAAACTGTACAGCAAAAGAGGGTTGAGACAAACCATTTAACACTGACAGGGGTTCTTACAATAGTAAGCTTTTATTCATTCATGTAAAATCTTTATCCCAAAATGAGACTTAACAGGCGAAAATAAAGAAAAAGAAAAGTAAAGTTTAAAAAAAAATTGAGAAAATCACTGCAAGGGTTAAGTGCTCATTTTAATCTAAAATAAAAAAATATATGCTCACCCAATCCCGGCTGCCCGATCCCCGGGGTCTAAGGACCTGTGAGGACATCACATCTTTTCACTTGCATTGGATGTGAGGGCGCCGACGGACATTCAACAGTCGGAGAGATGAGCGGTTCCCACTGTGGGATCGAGGATCGGGGAGTATATCCTTTTTTTTTTTTTATTTTAGCCCCTAGACCAAAGCAAGCACTTAACCCTTGCATATCCAACCTAAAGTTGGATATACTTTAAGTTCTGGCATTTTTTTCTCCATGTGATTTTGAACAAAATTCACATTTTTACATGCTTTCCCTTCTGTATTTATGTAAACGTGGATATTTATAGGAAATGGGTAAGCCACTGGAGCAAGGGTACATTTAACCACTACAGTCAATCATACTATCAGATTGCCTAACGGCTGTTGAGGTGTATGCCTCACAGGGAGGGCATTGTTTTTAATTGGATGACGGAATCAAAGTGAAGGAACAGCAAGGCACAGTCCTGAGCAGAAGGTTACTTTGAGGTAAAATGGCTGACACATGAATGTACAATACAAACCTTAATACACAATGATAAAGTTGGATATCACTAGAAATTAGGGGAAATTCCACCTTTTATTGGTGTCGCCAGGATGACTGCCCCATTTGGAGATTTTCCCAAACCTCCTGTCCTGGTGACAACTGTAAAACCTTTTGATTTCTACTTATCACTAGTACAAATGGTGAGGTAGAATTTCCCAAAAGGGGGAACAGACAGAAATCAAAACCTAACGTGGGTTCTAACTCTTTCTCACTATATAAAAAAAAAAAAGTGTTTGCATTGCAGTTTTAAT